CCCCGGGCGAGTGCAGCCGGCGGTCGGAGCGGGGCGCGCGGCTTCACGCCGGGCCCCGCCGCCCCGCCCTCAGAGCGTGGTAATCCGCGAGGTGCAGGTGCCGTTCCTGTACACGCTGCCCGACTCCAAGCGGTCGGGCGGGAAGTCCTCCACGCTGTACGCCCTGCTCTTGAGGGCGGTGGCGTAGTAGTCGACCGGCTCCTCGGCGGCGTTGTCCATCCAGCTGAGGCAGAGCAGGCGCTGGAAGGAGCGCTTGAAGTTGTCCGAGAGGAAGCCGTAGAGGATGGGGTTGGCGCAGCTGTTGGCGTAGCCCAGGATGACGGACAGCTGGCTGATGGTGGCGTCGTCCTGCTCCACGTTGAAGACGTTGACCAGCTGCACGATGTAGAAGGGCATCCAGCAGATGACGAAGACCATGACCACCATCATGACCATGAGCGTGATCTTGCGCTCCGAGCGCTTGCGCTGCTGCCAGCCGGCCTTGAGCGCCACCATGCGCATCTTGGCGATGATGAGGATGTAGCAGAGGCAGATGGCCACCACGGGCAGCAGGAAGCCCATGAGGAAGGTGTAGACCACGAAGACCACCAGCCACTTCTGCGTGGGCTCGGGCATCAGCATGTTGCAGGCCACCGTGCCGTCGCTGTTGGCCGCCGTGTTGGAGAAGATGATGATGGGCAGGATGATGAGGATGGACAGCACCCACACGCCCAGGTTCACCATCTTGGCCACGGTGGGCCGGCGGTAGCGGGCCGCCTTGATGGGGTGCACCACGGCGATGTAGCGGTCCACGCTGAGCACCGTCAGGCAGTAGATGCTGGTGAACATGTTGATGGCGTCCACGCTGAGCACCAGGCGGCAGAGCAGCGAGCCGAAGGGCCAGTGGTGCAGCAGCGTGGAGGTGACCAGGAAGGGCACGCTCAGCATGAGCAGCTCGTCCGCGATGGCCAGGTTGAGGATGTAGATGTTGGTGGCCGTCTTCATCTTGGCGTAGCGCAGGATCACGTAGATGACCATGGAGTTGCCGCACAGCCCCACCAGGCACACCACGGAGTAGATGAAGGAGATGAGGATGGCGCTGCCCTGCGCCTCGCTCAGCGTCGTGCTGTTGGGCGCCCCCGAGGAGTTCCTGCCGCCCGAGTCCATGCCCCCCGCCGCCGGCGCCCCGCCGCTACTGCCGCCC